GGTAGCAGTTACAGGAACCCCGGTCCGTTATACTTAAGCGTACCTCATCGCTGGCTAATACGGTTACAGGGAGCGGCGCCAAAATAAAACCAGGTGGTCTGTAGTTGAACTACACCTCCTGAAGTCCTTGAAGCTCCAACCTCATCTTTGCTTTTTCTCCAAGGTTGGATTTCAGAGAATTTTCTTTCCTTGACAGAGTTATGGAGGTTACAGGAAAATGTTTGCTAAGAGTCAGTCTGACCCTTAAACATGGAAAATTTCACATCCCCTCAGGCTTCTGGGGCATTTCCAAACCGTCTTACTACTGGTTATCCAAGATTATTGTCAAAGATTATTAACAAAGGTTATTAACAAAGGTTATTGTCCAAGATTTCCACGGACAGGGAGTCAACAGTGTTCTTAGTAAATGAATTATTCACAAGCTGCCCCTCCCTCTTACGGCAGACGCCGTGGGGAGGGTTGCATTTCCTGGAGACGCGCATGGCAACGGAGCCCAGCTTTGACCTTGGGAGTGTCTGACATTGAAAGGAAACAGTCATTTAGACTCAAAAGAAGAAGAAGAAGGGAGAGGAAACAAGCTGTGCAACTGTAGGGCAGATTTGTGATATACTGATATATGGGAAATGCTTTTAAGGTTATTAAAGAAACAATAGAGTTCAATGGTTTGTAATGTTCCCCTTTCATCCAGTCCAGTGCTGTCGCTCGTTAATGTGAGCTTGACATAAAACTAAAAAGAAAACATCCCTTTTAGGTCTCCCTCCCCATGGAGTCCATGGAAGCTTTTCTGCGTGTCAGTGTTTGTTTTTTCTTTTCTTTTTCTTTTTTTTTTTTTTACTTCTCCTCCAGGATCACATGATCAGCTGCTGAGTAATCATAGTTTTATTAACGCAGCAAGAGGACAGGATGTTCACTTTCCAACCTCAGCTGTATCATCCACGCAGGAGTTTGACGTCTGGACGCCGGAGCGCGTGTCACCAGCTGCTGCTGCTGCTGAAAGTCTCAGCTGAATGACAATGGGACGGTGTGTCCTTGTGTTAATCAGGAAAGATATAACAATCAGGCTGTTTTCATTCAACAGGAAATCGCACGACTCCTCCGTCCCAACACGCTGCGCGGCCTTTATGGCAAAGACAAAGTGAAGAACGCAGTGCACTGCACAGACCTGCCAGAGGACAGTGTTCTGGAGGTGGGTCTCTCACACACACACACACACACACACACAGTGACCAAATTATTCATAACCCTTAAGCTTTTTTAGTTTTCCTACATTTTCTCATGTTACAAAAAAACAACATAATAGTGAAATAAAAGGTGAAAATGCATTTTCTGATTTTTTTTTTTTGCACAAATGCAAATCTGCTATTGTATGATACCCCATAATAAAATCTATTCCAACCACCTGCCTTCTAGAAGTCACCTGATTTACAAGTCATGAATGAAAAGGATGCAAAAAACTAAAAAATGTAGGTACCCTAAACACATACCCAGAGGTACACACAGTGTGATTTAGATTAGAGGTGCCCCAGTTTTCTTAAACTGATCTCATCTCCCTCCACAAAGGTCTGAAAATCATCCACTGTCCCCTTTTGCTCTCCCATGAGAGTCCTGACCACTAATATGAATTACAACAACATTCAGTTTCTGTTTGGGATAAATAAAGTATCTTTGAATTGAATTTGAATCTGCACATGCTCTGTTAACAATAGTCACCTGCTTTTGCCAACTTAGTAACTTTGTCCCTATTAGGCCTTCTGCAACAAGCAACAAATCCTTTAACCACATGATAAATTAAAACAAGCTGAATCATTTCCATTTAGCGTTTTCTTCTTTTCTCTCTTTCTACTAAAAACTGGGTGATAAAAGTCTTCAGTCTGGGACTTAGATCTACATCAACCCTTTTATTGAAGGACATAATTCATTTAATTTATTGTTTCTGTTTTGTTTATTTATTTTGTACATTTAAAATGTCTTCCAGTTCTAGTGCTGCGTATTCATTAAAATTTAAACTTTATTGAAGAATGTGTTCTTACATTATGAGGCCATTGCCAGTATTTTACCTGGTCTCAAAACAACTTTATCGTTTATCACAATAACTTCCAGAACATTTTATCACCCAGCAAAATTTGTTTTGTTATTGTGGCAGGCCTAGTTGCTATATTTAGCTTCTTTTCAGGCAATTAAAAAAGAATCAGAATCAGTGATGAGCTGGAAAACTGCAGTCAGTGCATCCCTGGTGTACAGCAAAGCCTCACGTTTCGCATGAGAGTATTGATTAATTGTGAAACGCAAAAGCACTCCACACTTTCCAGATTCCATTTTGTAAAAGAAAAGAACGGTATACCTTTTCTTCTTGTTCCCAATTATGAACTACCAATAAACTACATGGAAGTGTGTGGCCATAGCATGACTAACAGAAGAAGAGGAAACAAATGGAGGAGTGTGTGTGTACTGTTGCTAGACTCCTCATGCCACTCCCACACGTTTCCATCAACACGACCATTCTCACCCCTCCAATGAGTCTCGTCATTGTCTTACGGCCCCGTGCATAAGCAGCCACCTTGCATTCGTCCGAGAACAAAGCCCCCTCAACTCTGTGAAGCCGCGTCTTTAGACAAGTCCCATGACTCCGCTCTGTGGGCCGGGGCAACCTCAGATCACGCTGGTTTTGAGGAGAACAAGAGTGGCAGAGGAATTTGAAACAAAACCATTGTTTCGCAGGCAGTGGGTCTGACCAATCGGACGTCATTGTTCAGGAGAACTCCTGATCTGTAACCCAGGACAAATGCTTCCTTGTTAAACATTAGCCTGTGGCCAACTGGGCTGCCATTTTCCCAAGACTGGAAACGGAGCGACCAAGAAAGGGCCTGTGCAGAGGAGAGGGGCTGAGTGTTACTGCACGTGATGTCAGACACCTGGGTTCAATCATGAATTAGATGAATAATACATTAATTTAGATAACACTGTGATACGTTTCCTTTAAAGATGCACTGCAAAAGCACAAAGTCTTACCAAGTAACTTTGGTCTAATTAATAGCACAAATATCTTGGTATCCTTGCTGACAGTAAGACAAAACTAACTTACAAGTAAATTTAAGAGCTTGTTTTAAGTAAATATTGATTAATATTAATATTGATAACTATCTGTTCTTTTGGCAGATATTTTTACTTATAACAAGACAATTTTCCCATAAGTGAAATAATCCACCAGTTATTAACTAGAGTTAATAATTCTTAAGTTTTTATCAAAACTTAAGAATTATTAACTCAACGCAAGCTCCTATATCTTGGTAAAACAAAGTTACTTGTAAGTTGGTTTTGTCTTATTTCAAGTGTACTAAGACGTTTGCACTAGAAACATTTAGCAGTGTGCTAACCGGAGTGCCTCATGAAATCAACCAAACTCTCTGTTGGGTTTTCTTTGCCACCAATAGAAAAAGTCGTTTTTTTTCTGCCATTTTGGTTTGAAACATTATGTAATGACAAAATCTAAGAAAAAGCTTTTAAGTACCTTTAATGACATCACGAGGCATAAGGAAACTGATCTGACTGCTTTTAAGTTCCTCTATTTGTTTTTCCTCTTCTTTCACTTCAAGTTTTGATTCTCTAATTCAAAGCTGTGCTCTTACTTACTAGCTTGTGTGGGAACCCTGCAAGAAAACATATAAATAATAATTTATGTTTTTTATTATTGATTCATTTCTTTGAGCATCAGGGTTGATGGGAATGAAACTCAAGAGATTTTCAGAATCTGTGTAGAAATCAGCTAAAAGTCCTTCGTGTCGTAACGCCAGCGGATCAGCTTTGCTTCTTGGGGCTCTCGTGATGTCATCTGTACAAAGCAGAACAAGCTGTTTTCTTCTGTGCTTTTTAAGAACTCTGTTTAATTGTTTGTTTTTTTTCCACATTTGTTGGTGAAAATAAGAGTAACTTGGCATATCTTCTCCAGGTGCAATATTTCTTCAGGATTTTGGACGGATGAAAGCTAAGAAGGAAACACGTCATTCACCAAACACCACAAGGACTTCACTGTTGTCTCAATTTTCCGTTTATTGTTTCAGCCTTATGCAGATTAAATAAAGTGACAAGATCAGACTCCTGATGTGTGTTTTTGATCTCAAACATTGAATTAAGTATTGTTTTTTTTTTTCATACCCACTACAACATCTTTATTACACATGATACTGCATTGTCTCTGATTTTCTCAAACGTTTTAGACCAGCAACTTTGGTATTGGATTCATAAACATCACACGTTGAAAAAAGGAAAAGAAAAAGAAAGAAAAGAAAAAAAAATGTACAACTGCATAAATATAAAATTCTTCCATTATGAAAATGGCTAAAAACATTCAATAGTAAGTTACATCACGGAACGTGACGTCTCCAGCAAAGCAGATTTCAAAAGCACTGAGTTGCCACGGTTTCCATGGAGGTGACAGTCTTCTTAGGCTGGACCCACAAAGCTTTTACACTATGAATTAAGAATGAACTGATAAGAGTATCAAACAGAACTGTTGTCTAAGAAAACCTAATTGTGAAGCGGAGGAGAAAAAAAAAGAAAAGAAAAGTGAGCAAACATATTCTACGGCAAACTTGAATAAGGAAATGCATAAAAACAAAAAAGATGGAGCGCAGTCATCTTTACTCAACACATGGGTCTTAAAGGTTCAGAGTACCATGCTAGTATTTCAGTTAGTCTGAGCACATTGACAAACACTCCACGCACTCACATAAACTACAGACGCCTGCACGGACACGAGCGAGCGCACACACACCTTGGACCACTAAAGCAGACATAAGACAGAGGAGATCACGACGGGGCTAGCCTACAAACTCTGGACACTTCAAAAATATATAGAAACCACGTGAGGATGAAACACCATGGGGGGACAGAGACACAACTCGCTACACATCAGTAGTGAAACTGCAGTTTTACAGTAATCGATGAACATCCCATGGCTCAAGGATTTTTTTTTTTCTCTATTTTTCTTTTTGTTTCTTTTTTTGTTTTTACCCTCCCCCCATTTACAGTAGAATAAATATTTGCTATTGCTACCTTTTTTTTTTTAATTTTTAATTTTTTACTTTTTGCGTATTTTACATTCTAACTCTGGACAGAAAACACGGGAAACGCTAGTGTAAAGCACACGGATTAAGTGTAGGTCCTGTAAATAATGAATGTTCAAAGACTAGTGGTGGTTGTTTTTTGTTTTTTTAAATCTGAACTCTTGAATATCTTTCTACGTTGTTTTTTGTGTGCGCTCATCGTGCCTGGGGTCACGACTTCGAGTTCACGGTGAACTTAACGTCAAAGCGTCCCTGATAGCGGTCTTTCTCGTTGTAGTCGATGTTGTCACCGTAAACTTTGCACTCGATGCGGAGCTCCTGATCCCAGGTGAGGTTGGTGAATTGGATGGCCACCAGAGGCTGCAGGTAATCGGGATGCAGGCGCTTGCCGTAGTAGGGGTAGTACTGCAGGGGGAAACCGGCGAGTCCCCCAAGCCCGAAGTACTTGATCTCTCCAATCTTGCCTTCGTCTTCGTCCCTCTGTGGGCAAGGCGAGAAACACTGAGTTAGTACTAACCAACGAGCGGGGAAGTCCTTGGTTCTGCAAACCAATGGTAATTCTTGAACAGAAGTAATGAAATACACAAACTTACCTTGTTCTTGCAGTGAATGGGGATGTAGTTTTCAAAGGTTTTGCCTTTCAGAGCATCTGGAAGGGCGGTTTTGTTGGTAGGAGGCTAAAGACAGAGCAGAATTCCACACTGACTTTTTTTTGTCATAAAAGTTACTCTAAAAATTCAGCCTAGGGCTGGACAACATGGCTGCAAAACGCATCAGGAACAGATAAGCATTTTGTATCAGTCAATATCAATAATTGTTGATTAGTGTTTATTTTTAAATATCTGAAATACTTCCAAACTGATGGTGTAACTTTTTCTGTTTTAACTACAGATTTCACTTTTTTAAAATATATTTTTTAGGCAGTTATGAGGCACGGTAGCGAAACTTTAAACTGCTGCTCAACAGGTTGTTGCTAGGTAACAAGAGAGCGAGTTAGTGGATACAACCAACCTTGCTTAGCTACGAGAGGTTGAACAGTTAAAGCCTTTCCTCTGCCTACATCCCCCAGAATGCTGTGCGGTTCTGGCTCGGAGTTCCAGAACCATTCTTGACCATTCTATCAGACTTATTATCTATTGACATTGAGCACGTGTCTATGGTGATAAGTATTGTTATTGGCTTATTTGTTCAGCCTATTAAAAACAATAATTTAACTCATCCTACAGAAATTTTCAATTCTATCACCAGTCATATGATGCAACAGGAAACATGCCAGCTTCAGGGCTGATCTGCAGCTTCACTGCACTCATAGGAACGTTTGAGATGTAATATGTGTGTTTGAAACCTGTAACTTTCATGTTTCATGTTGCTGGGCTTCCCCTTTAGGTGAAGCATGTTTCTGTGAACCGCCTGAATCAAAATCATAACCCGCTGGGTGGAAAACTCACCAACTTCCCCATAGCCGGGTCAAACAAACGCCCAGGTGCTCTTACACTTTATTAAGCACTTGCTTCCCGTCAGTTTTACATCTAAGTTTTGAATACTAGAAACTACACTAATAAACAAATATAAATTAATCATGTGCATGATAATGCTTCAAAATTTTATTTTGAGCAGGTTTACATACATTTATGCTCAGGAAACACAAAAGACTGGACAATGAATCGATAGTAATATGCATCGCCTCTGACACGTGATCGATGTCAATAGGTATAAGTATTAAATAATTTCACTGCAGAGCCGCACAGCATTCTGGGGGATGCAGGCAGAAGAAAGCCGCTCAACCTCTCACAACCAGCCAAGGAAGGTTGGTGGCATCGCTCTCTGGTTACCTAGCAACAACCTGTTAAGTAAGCAGCAGTTGCAGGTTTTGCCACTGTGCCTCAAACTGCATGGAGTGAAAACTGGATAAAACTAGAAAGCTCAAGTCATCGGTTTGTCAGTATTTCAGATATTAAAAACAAAACACAAATCAACACTTATCGACGACTGATATCGACTGATATATATGAATGCTCACATTGTGATACATTTTCAGCCATATCGTCCATTGTCTAGCAGAACACTGTTAGCTAGCTAAATGAATCAAATTAGTGTTCATAATGCTTTATATATAAAGGCATGGATTTCATATGATGACACACCAAACCGCTCCTGTGCTTTACTGGCTAACTGGGATGACAGACAGGGTCAGCTTTTTATCCCTTGACTGTATGGAGACAGGCAAGTTGCCTCTCCCCCGCCTGTTTCTGTGCACTGCTGCCCAGCCGACTGAAAAATCTTCAGTGCCTTCTAAGAAAAACAAATCTTCGAGTTTGGAAATATTTTAGGTTATAAAATCGCTCCTGAAGCAAAGATCAAACTCATCTGCAGATATACAATCAAAGCCAGGAGAAGGGTCTTAGAGCTGTCAAACACTCTTGTGTACACGCCGCTCCTACTCTCCCTTTTCTCCTTTCTCTCTGCTACGTTACTGCTAGTTCCCCACAACGGAGCCTTTGATGAGTGCTAAGGCTAGTTAGCATAGCTACCGATAACTGCAGATAAACAGTTTTGCCTGGAATGGTTAAGTTGTTTGTCCACCGTTAGCACATTAAGCAGCAGGTACATGAGGATGATTAACAGCTCTAAGACCCTCCCCGTTTTGCTAATTGGTTGTTTCTGACCGACAGCGTTTTTGCAAATGGCAATAGTAACACTAGGAGGAGGTGGAGGAGTTTGACTTTTTTTCCACAGATTATCTGTCTCATATGTTCATGACATAGTGACAAGTTAAACTTTTTTTTTAATAAAAACTACATACTGTAGCCTGAAATAAACATCAGAATCAGAAGATGACACCTAATCAATGAATGGAAATTGAAATTCCTGATTGGCTGTTTGTTTGAGAGTCTGGAGTAAATGCCGTGATAATTCCGAGAATCTAGTATTCACAGAATTATCAACTGTTTGCTGAACTGTGCTAAGATGTAGGATCTTTGAAGTGGAAAGCTTCTCTTGCATTTTTCAGTTTCAAGACAGGATGACAGGAGTCTGTGTTAACTATTGTGGCCCTATCCGCTTCCAGTAGAGGCAACCTCCCTCAGCACAGAGCTTGTTTAAGGAGGATATAAACCAGCAACAAATGTTAAAAGACATCTGAAGCTGAGAAAGAAACTCAGAGTTGCTGCGGTTTGGTTTTAATCTTTTAAAGGAAAAACGATTGAACCAGCAGCTTCATGCATGGGACACACACCTTTGGTCTGAAGTTGACGATCCTGTTGAGCTTGACGATGAGGCACGGCTGTCCTTTACTGAAGCCGAAAGTGTCATCCTTTACCCCAGAGCAGTTTTGAAGATTGCTTCTGAGGAAACGGCAACTTCTCTTCACTCCTTGTTCTTTGTCGAGTTTGCCACGATCCACGTATGTTTGAGGAAAGTCTGCAAATAGTGAATCGAAACACAAACACACACATAAATAAAACTTACTAAATCCAGAATTCAACGTGTTAGATGTGAGAAAATGATCAAAAATTGAACCAGAACCAAAAACTGCCAAATCTCCATAGCTAATTGTCACACGGCAGCCAGTAATCAAATGTGATGATTCCTTGATACTTGCCACTGCAATCGTCAATATTATTATTTTCTAACTGCTTTTCGTCGTCGTATTTCTTGAGAAACTCCGTCATGCTGGTGATGTACTTCTTGTACGTGGACTCATCTTTCACATTGAAAGTGATTTCAGATTTGTCGGAGCGGGGCGTGTGTGACAGACCTGAGGAACATCAAAAAGTTTGAGTAAGAAGAAGGAAATCAGTGAAAATTATAACCAATATGTAAAACAACAACGACAACAAAAAAGCATAACAACAAAACAAAATCACTGCAGAATGATTAGTGGAGAGGGAAAACAAAAGCCATAGCAAGGTTCTGCTCTTTATCTTAAGACAATGTAGGGTCTTGGGGATTTTCCTCGGATGGTCTCAGGCAGCTCCTGGGAGTGGTAATTTTCCACAGACCTCGCGCACAAAAGCTCCCAAGTGAAGGCGTGGCACCGGGGCAGAGTGAGATGGGTTCGAAAGGCAATCAAAGACATAACTCTCATTAACCTTTCCTCTTTTTTTTTTTTAAAAACCACTGGGTGGATTTATGCGTCGCCATATACTTAAGCAAGAGGCCGGGCGAGAGAGAAAAGTGTCAGAATCTCACTTGTGAAAAGTTCACCAGTCCCCTGCCCCCACCCATCCACTCTCATGTGTCTCTCTCTCTCTCTCTCTCTCTCTCTCTCTCTCTCTCTCTCTCTCCCCCTCTCTCTCTCTTTCTCACAATGGAAACTTTTAGCCCCAGAGTGGAAGGCGGGTTGAGCTCAAGAAAAAGAAAAAAAAAAAAGAAAAAAGAAGAGTCTCTCTGCTTCCTTGTTCGTTCCTCTAGTGGAAACTTGCTTCAGCTCACCGTCAGGCCAACACTTTCTGCCAGGCTTCTGCTGATCTGGTCGATTGTCGAGCGGTCGGTGGTTTGAGAGCGGCAGGAAAACGGAGCCGGGCGTCTACAATAGCTGCTAAAAATACCGCAGAGGCTGAAGCATGTGCTGCGCAACATGATGGGGTGGAGGAGGTGTGGGGAGTGGGGTGGGGGGGAGGCTTGGCACCTATGAAAACAACTTAGAAAAACGACAAACGCTCTCTGAGCTTGCAGGAGATTTCTAAATGCTTCTAATGCAACGGCAGCATTTGAATTTTAAACACATCCCCCCCGTCTCCACGCAGAGATTGTTACAAGCTCATTCAGGGATGAGAAACGATATTATTTTCCTCTAAACAATGTTCAACAAGCTCTCCGTGTAAAAAGCAGGCTGCTGTGACTCATAATCCCAAATCGTTTCAGTTCCCCCGCACCCTGAGGGGGGTAACCATTGACAGGCTGGGAGAGAGTGAAGGACAAAATGGCTGAGCCTGTTCGAGGTCAGAAAGACTCCGGATAGAGTAGCTGCTCAGAAGAACACTTAAACCATTTGTCTTTCTCCCGCGGCCGTCCGACAGCGCTGCGCCGTCGTTCGGCAACCGGCGGATCGCTCAGGAGGAAGCGGGGTCAGAGGGAAAAGTTCCTGGTTTTACCTGGGGGAGCCACTCTGTCCTGGTGGGTGGGTTTGAACTCGTGTATCGTCAGCAGCAGAGCCTGAATGGTCCCGATGAAGATCGCAGCCAAGCATCCATAGAAAATCACGTAGAACAGGAAGATTTTAACTAGAAAGAGAAACAGGTGGAAAGAGGGCCGATGGTTAGAGACGCACCAGTCAGGTCAGATGCTGACAAAGCTTCAATTTTTTTCTAATTGAAAACAACAATTTCCCCCTGTTAGAGGTCTGTGACTGCCTTATCTTTGTACTCTGATACACTTTTTGGAGCTGAATTAAAGCTGCAGAAGTTAAACCAAAAGTGTGTATCAATTCCTTCATATTCTGTTGGAATCAGAGCTACTTACCTTTTGAGATATTTTTATTTTAGGTTTTATAGTCCTTAGGGAGAAATTAAAGGGAATCTGTATTGACTGACCAACCTGTAGTTTAACTGCACCATGTTAGGAAAACATGCAATTCTGATTTAAATAAATACTCTTTTTTTTTTCTCTCACCACCATTACTGAATCTATAAAAAAAGAGTAGTAAACGTTATTACAGCTGGCCAATTAATATACTTTTGGCATATAAAACAATGAAAACATGACTTTAAAAAGTGCAACGGGCATCCAAACATCGGCATCACACATTGCAATAGGCATCAGACATTGTCATGATGAGCAATAAATCAATTAATCACACAATAAATTCAAATGAGTGCAATAATTCTCATTTGGACAACAGTCATTAAAGAGACGTTCCTGTTTAATATCGTTGAAAAGCCGCCATTTTGAGAAATGCTGCAAACATATGACACTCAGGACGAAGTAGTTGGTTGGCACTACCTGCCTCTTTTGCCTGTTTTCCCTGTCTTGACCTGAATGATTACTATCTTTTGAAATGCAATTTTGGCTATTGAGACTTCATAATCCCTTATAATTACTATTGCGTTGCTTGTTTTATTTTTAAACTGTTTTCCAGTTGAGTTGTAAAATGTTTTTAGAAATTTGAGATTTTATCTTTGAGAAGGTGTACTTGCATTAGTAATCCATTGTAATTATTATATAAGTTGAGAATGGTCCAAAAATGACAATATTATCGCTTATTGCAATCATTTCTGCGACAAAATTGTCATCCTGTAAAATCTGTTACCGTGACCGAGCCTAGCTGTTATGACAATGATAATTCTGATGTGCAAGTGCAGTCAGCAGCTACTTCATTAATCTGGACTGTAGCTCTTAAAGCTCTTTGTTGTTTTATGGACTTAGAGAAGCATTTAACAACTGAAGCTCCTCAGGCTTATTTATTTTTTCCTTTAAATAAGCTCAACCTAGCGTGAAGTTTGAGAAATAATACACATTTAATTAGCTAAAACTCTCCTCATTCCAAAGCTGGCGGTGAAAGGAGTCTCTCCACACTTCCAGCCCGATTCAAACTTTACGCCAATTATGTAACGGCTGCAGAGCCACGATTCCAGTGCGACGGGTTGAGTCACTGTCAGGCGCCACTGTTTGCTCTCATGCAGACATCCCCCCATCCCCTTTTTCCCCGCCCCCAAAGTGTTGCTTCCAACAGGTTTCTGGATAACACACGCTGTCCTCATCTCAATAAACAAAGAGCTCCTTTGTTTATGTTCCTTTAGTGGACTGAATCTTATTAGTTTTCCTTGTTGGTAGAGTTTCATTAAGGTTCATTGAGGGGGGTGGAAGAGGGGACGGCATACATTACTGTTAAAGTGTGCACCTGCTGTTGGCTGCTTGGAAGAAGTCTTTTTGTTCAATCACCCCTGTAACAGTTCAGTTTATCTTGCTTGGTAGCTAAAACTGTCAAGTCTCGACAGAACCGCTGATCAAACGTTGTTGTGTCTTTAAAGCAATGCTTAGAAAAGGTCAGCTTGTTGTGTTGCCTAAACTTGACCTTGTCAAGATGTGGAAAAAAAAAACCAACAAAACATCACATTCTGCACCGTTAAACTCTCTCTGCCAGAGTTCATGTTGTTTCCTCTTCCTCACTTGCGCCTTCGGAAACTTTTCCCTCCACTTCCAGGTTCTCATCCACATCAACCGGTTTGGCGAGTCAACGGCCTCCACCTCTTGAACAATAATCTCTTGCAAACAGACAGCAGGGGAATGAGCGGGCTCACTGGGCCCTCCCCCACTCAAGCTCTCTGGTTGGCTCCGATATTCTTCCCGCACGTGTTTGAACGCAATAGACGACATGTTTTTGGGTGATACGATCTCATCAGAAGTGCAGAGTTGGGAATGGGTTAAAAAAAAAAAAAAAAACGGAGGTAAAGGGTACAAAATGCCTCTAGAGAGAGTTGAACTTGTCGTTGGCGCGGTGACGCACCTGTCAGGAAGTAACTGTAGACATGCTGACATGTCACACACGTGGAGGAAGACAGTTTTTTTCTCTCTCCAACACTGTGCCACTCGCTGCCTGTTGTGAAAAGGTGAAGGGAATTTGCTGAAACAAATGTTTTTCTTCTCACAGCTTCTCAGGCAAGAGAGCCAATCAGATCTTCCCAAGTCAACTTGTGTTTGCTTTATTTAAAAAAAACCCATAACTTTGGAGTCATCCAAACATGAATATGTTCATATAAAATTAGTGAAGCCCCCAATAGCGCCTAGCCTAACTAATTGATAGTGATTCCCAGTGGTCTTAAGAGGTCTGAGACCATTGGAAATCAGTGTTTACTTTTAAGGACTGAGGATGATTAAAGAAAAAAACATGATGTGATGTAGGATTGTGATAGAGACAATAACTTAGAATCCAACAAGAAAAGAAAAGAAACACAGCAGAATCAATGTATCTACATCAAAGAAGCTATAGGTACATTGATGTATCAACATGAGATACATTAATGTATCTAATCTTATAGTGGAAGTTGTTGGGATTTTGCAGCATTGGGAGGTCATGAATGAGAGCCGATCCTGGAATTTCTCCGATTCCGAATACATTTCTGTTCTTGTACCCATGATTTCAACAAATGAAGGAACCGGTTTTGAACACCTGTCTATTCATTAATTCTATTAATTAAAATTTGCCTCAGCAACATAATTAAATAAAACATCTCTGGTTAAAGTCACCCTCTTCACCAAGTCGTACCCCGCTTTGTAGCAAATTCATCTCTGCCTTCTTCCATTTTATGCCTGTAAGCAACTCATTTTGTTCCCATGAACTTAAACCATTCTCTATCAGTAATTTCAAAACTTATAGTCATTATAAAATTTTATAACTTTATGTATATTTAAATTTCAGCGTACAATACTTTAAAAAACTTTTATATTCTATGCAATTTGCATTTATTGTGGTTCTGATCCGGTGTTAGGACCCCTGCTCAAACTAATATAACTCTAAGCAACTTGTTGCTGGTGAGTAATGTTTATTGGAATCACATAATCAAATTTCCGCTCAAGTTAAGTTAATTGTGGAAAATAGCTTTAAATCATCGATGGTCAAAGAAGGTACAAAACGTTCCAGAGGCGAATGTAAATCAAGCTCCAACTGTGAAATTAAGCATCCAGTGTAAAATATCAATAGTAAAAAAAAAAAAAAACATAAATAAAACTCCAAAATTGTTCTTATGGCTTTTGGTTAACGTGATTCCAGAAAATTGAGTTTCAAAAACACGCCAAACAAACCGGGAAATCTAATAGTCTCAGAAGCGGAGTGTGGGAAGAGGGGAGTCTGGTTGACAGGCAGAGTTTGAATGGAGAGCCCCTCCCCCCACCGGCCTGCTGCGACGTGTTGTCCTGTTGAGGGCCCGTCCCCGCTGATCTCTCTCCATGTTTGTTAAAGCTCAGAAAAGTATTCACACTACTGAAACTACAGCAGCTTTAGACAAACATGTGTATAACGGGCCTCTTTTTCAGACTGTCACCGACAGCTCCTTGTAGTTCACGTGCTGAAAACACAAACTCTTAGCCGGAAATATGTGAGAGCAGTTCAAAAGGCAGGCCGTAGTTCCTCTCGGCTTCCAAAGGACGTCACAGACAAACCTGTTGCTTTCAGTGGACACTTTTAGCAAATGAGGCGTCACTTTCCCCCCTCCACAACAAACACAGGACGGACTCTCACGAAGTCTCACTGCGGGCATGGTAACATTAGCTCTGTAGTGACACGTGCTGATTGAAATCTGGCAGAAAAGTAGCTCCCAAGAGTTCGCCATTGGGCAGCACGCGCCAGCTGTGACGGAGCATTTGTAGGCGGTACGTCTACAACTGCTCGGCTTCTTCCTGCCCCTACCCCCCTACCTCAAAGAATGAGACTTGTTTACCTCCAGCTTTCATTAAGCTTAGAGTAACGAGCGCATTAAACTTGCGGAAAGCGTGCCAACCAGTGTCTCACGTCTTTGAAAAGGGGGGGAATAAATAAATAAATAAATAAATAGCTGGGAGAGACAGGCAGACAGAGGGGCGGCCCATGAGACATGTGAGTCGTGATCGGCTCTCTAGCACAGCACCGTGTTCCCAAACGGTGAGACTCGCGCCGCAGCCGAATAAAATAAAAAAAAAATAAAAAAGGGTGATCATTTCTAATTGGCAAAACGGTTTAGCAACAGTAATTAGGACTGTGTAACGACTGCTGGTTATCCTATCAAATCATCCCCCAGATCTGCCCGTATTAGTCAAGCTTCCACATCCGTCTTAAAGTATTGAAAACAGCGCTAAAACGATTATCAAGAGTTGGATTCAATAATCCGGGATATGAGAGAAAGGTGGGGCCTAGCAAAATTAGCCATCCGCTTTGTAACTGTAGAAATGTCCTCTGTTTCCGCTTACTTCTCCTTGGTGAAAAAAAAAAAACATTAAAAGCGTGGAGGAAATCACAAACATTTAAGCCAAACTCGTTTAGTGGACGGTCCTGGCCCACAACAATCTGTCCTTCAAGATGACCTTTTTCTAAAGGGCAATAATTGACTGGCACAACATGGGCTACGCCTATGGTAATCATTGTCTATTACAATGTATTATCAGTTAACCCTATCTGAATCCAGATAAATAATTAAGCCGTCATCGCAGAGATGTCATTCAGTTTAAGTGAGAGTTGATTGGTTTATCGAGCTTATTAATCAGCTTATATTTTTCATTACTCTTGATCCAGGACAAACTCTTCGAAGGAAACCGGTTTCGTGTTTGGTGGCTGGAGATGAAGTTGAGCTTGTCACGGATTTAGAAGACAAACTTCTCCCCACAGTCTGCACTGAAACCGAAGTCACGACTCGGCGTGTCAGAGCTTCTGTGCTCTAACAGGTGCTGACTGCAGAGTGAGGAAATGAGGAGAAGAATAAAAAATGGTTTCCATTCTCCCTTAGAATAACAGAAGGGGCATCATCCTTCACGACAGGCGTCTGACGAGAACTGGTTCAGTTCAATGAAGGGAGGAGGGAAAAAAAAGAAAATGGAGTACTTACACCAACTGCCCCCTGTTCGTCCTAGAAACTCTCTCTTCTCTGAATTCCACAGAAATTTCCTCCATCCGCCGTCGCTCTCCTTTTTCCCAGCCATGTTACCTCCACAGAAATATCCCCCCGGTTTACGTTCTGTAAAGGTTTGACTGGAGTTTTAAAAAGCTGCGACTGTTAACCGTCCTTCACAGGAAACACGAAAGGACAGTTTCGTACCCGACTCCTCCAATTGTACCACTCACAATTTATCTCGCGGGGAGCAGCTCCGCCTGCAAACTCCTGTAATAAGTTACCATCGAAGAGGGAGGGCTCAGCTCAGCAAATCACAACCCTCTGCTGCGTTTTGCGTAAGAGGCGAACCGAGGAGGGGGGTCGCTCCAGACAGGAGACGCTTATCAACGTACAGAGGTGTGTGGGGGGTGGGGGATTGAGGTGCTACACAGAAATTACCCATTGGTTGTTGCAGACGTTTAAACGATACCTGTACCGTTTGCAACCGGTCCGTTTCCCCCAATAAACATCGGCGAAATCAAAGGTAGCTCTGCATGTTCAAAGACGAAAAACTGTGACAACATAGGTGTTAACAAGCAGAGCCAAAATTTGTACTCAAGTAACAGTAATGTTATATTGTATGACAATAATTCTACTCAAGTAAAGCGTATGGAGCTGTAAAACTTTCCTTAAAAGTACAAAAAGCTACTCAAATACTCTGTTAAAAAATAGAATGGAACATGCAGTACTTTAACTTTTATGTAACAACTAGCTTACTACAAATAGTCCTAGTCTATCGCTAGTTTTAATTTAACTTCAAAGCAGCAAAATTGTGCAGATAATAAGCCCTTTTTCTTTTTGACACAAGCTACATGCGTAAAAGGAATAATGCACTTCTGAACTTGCTGGATTTTCTTCTAATTCTTAACAGAGCCCATTCACATCAGACTTTAATGAGTAAAGTCTGATGTAAAAAAAAACTTTAAAAAAATCTCTGTGTATTGATTTCACAGTCTGGAATTTATCATAGTCTTTAACTTTTTAAAGACTAAAAAGACTAATAAAAACGTATACTGCTGTTATGACTAAAAAGGGCGGATATGTTCCAGTCACCCATGTACACAAAGGTTGTATAGACGGATCTTATTGTTTACATCCGCAAAATTTACATCCGGAAACGTCGCGCATGCGCACAATGCCGGTGGGAAAAAAAACGATTTTGTACTTGCTATCCATAGCCGCGCGGCCGCAGAAGAGCAATTCCGTAAAAAAAAAAAAAAAAGAAACCTGTAGATGTAGGTATTATTAATTTAGTTAGGTGCGCCACAGAAATGGAAAATAACACAGAAAACCAGATGAAGAACAACCCAAAACCACTCATATTCTTTTTTCTTGCTCTGTGTCGGTTTTACGCTACAAACAGACCAGTTGCCATAACAACTGACTAACGGTTCCATTAGCCGACATAGCATCCTGATATATGCATCCTGATATACTTCTTTTTTAACTGAACCGAAACAAACATAATTTCTACATGACCGTTTGACTAAGCTAGCAAAACTGATATACTTCCTTCCTCTATTTTTTTAATGGAAATTTTTACTGACCTGTGAAATGTTGGATGGCCTTGTTTTGACAATTAATAGCAAAACACTGCGTCTCATTTTCTTTTAAATATCACGCATACATTTAAGATTTAGGATGTTAAATTAACAAATGATGGTAGTCATCGTCTGCAAGCAGTTTTTTGCATTCTATGGCGCTGCCTTCCAGCAGTGGGCGGGATCTTGCATGCGCCTGACGTTACGTTGCAACGTACTCCGGCCCAAATGGCGCATTCTGGCTTTTCAGTGAAAAAAACTGGTTCACTAATAATAAGTATACTGCTAGTTAGAAGTTAGCCTGTTTTTAAGCAGCTGTATTAAATATTAGCCAAATTAAAACAGGTTCTAAATGTGCCAAAAACAACATGAAACAGACTAGCATGGAAGCACTTAAATATGAGCTCAATGTTAAAAATAGACAACTAAAAAGGACTTTATAATCGGTATCATTTTAATATTTTTCCAGCTTGTAGGACACATGCTAACTAACGTCTGACTTTAAAACAAGAAACACATGCTGTTGATGGCCTTGAAGCAATAACACAATCAAAGCTATTTTAAATAATCATTTCAGTTTTTTGCATATTCTTTAATTTTGTAGTCTGGAGGTTTCAGTAGAAAATGTGTTTATTAATAAAGTCATGCTAGTTAGATACTAGGAAGTTATTACAGACATTTCATTCGAACCATATTGCTCCTAAAAAACTTTGCCAACATGTAAAAATCTGATTGGTATGTTCGAAAATGTAGTGTATCTAAACTAAACAACAGTAGAAACCTATTAAAAAATGTTGCATTTATTTTAAAGTCATGACAATTACTCACGACTTCTATACTTTAATATTTCATAACGTTGTAAAAGGCAAACTTACTTCTTGTCTGACTGAATTAGACTTTCTCTTTTTTTGTTAAGAAACTGATTAGTTGCTTAGATACACACAAAAAACCTGAACGCAAATATGGAAAATATAGATTTTTCAATGTAGTTTTTAACATGTTTCTGTGAAAACAATTGGGGAAAACAACTTGTTGCTTTAGTGAATAATTGAAGCTTCTGTCGAAATCAACACAGTAGCTCAGAATCACTTGGCAATGAGTCAGAAAATGAGGACACTGTCCTGGGAAACCAGATAGTTACTCCATGATTACTCATGCAAGAAGACCTTACCATCATTGACTCACTATCATTCAACTACACTTCACAACAGTATTAAATCAAATTGAATGGAAGGCCTATTGATTATATGAAGTATCATATGGCTCAATAGTTCATCCATGACCTTTTTTATTTGAAGAGTACGAGACAATAGATTAAAAGTAAACCACAAATAAAATATGTTACTGCACAAATAAGATTTGTTTTTATTTTTACTCTATCTGACCTGCTGACTTGAGGTCAGCAGATCAACAGAGCTCTCTACCCCATAAAGTTTAAGGTCATATCTCTATAACTTTACAATATTTTGTAAAAATATTCATGTCCCTTGAGATTTTTCCTATGTTTTCCCAGTACAACCACCAACCTTAATGTATTTTATTTGGATTTCATATGACTGACTGAAAAAAAAATACAACAAAAAAGTGGTCAATGATTGTGAAGTGGAAGAGAAATGATGACACATGATCTTTCCAAATAATGTATTGCAAACACCTCACCACACTGTTCGATCCATCACCTGAAAAGTAAAATAGTATCTCACATGGCATTACTTGGAGAAGAAGCTAAAGAAGTTCCTGGGAACTCTGGAGGAGCAGAAGAGACCCACAGCTCAGGTGGGAGAATTTAATAACTAATAGCTGTGCTCTCTGCAAATTTGACCTTTATGGGAGAGTGAGAGGAGGGGAAAAAAAGATAACAGGGAGTGAATACTATAAAAGGATACTGTTAAATATTTTCAAACTGAATCAGAATTATTTATGACCCTATTATTTAAATAATCTATAATTCAGTTTGGAAAAGAGAACTGCGTCATACACTTTTTTGTTTTTGCACCGTTAAAAGTAAACAATGTTTCACGCTCCTTTTGTGGGGCTGCTATTGATTCTGGAGCGATAACATGGAAGCTCTCTGTTTACATAGATGAAGGCTTTGTCAAGACTACAAGGAGGTGAGGCATTCTGAGGCAGGTTGTGAGGGAATCTGGTATGCAGTCTGTAAGCTGGACTTGAGCTAGTCAACAATAGCACCTCTATGCAGCTGGCGTCCTGCGCTGGATCCTCAACAGCTCAGTGGATAGGAACAGATGAAACGAACAAAAAAAAAATCTGGTACTCCATTTGAAAATGCGTCATGGTGTAAGAGGAAGCTATGAACCACCTGGAAAACCCATGTCAGAAAATACATTTAAATTTATTTTTTTGTGTGGGTTTTTTTGTGTGTGTTTTGTTTTTTTGGTTACTTTTAGTTAGAAAATCAAATTAAAACTTGACTTTGACATCTTCACTATATTATACTGAGTTCAGATTAATTGCAAAAATTTAAAACAAAAAATGTACAAAGTAAGGTGTTCAAGTTCAATAAATAGTACGGGTGGACATTTATCACATCGTTTATCATTTATCATGATAAATATTATTTATCGTTGTCATGATAAAATCCAATTAATGATATTTAACCCCGCCCCAAATTATTGTTGTCCTTATTGTTGGGGATTGATAGATTTACTATTTTCTCCAAGTTCTTCAATGAAACCAGCATTAAACACCAATACATTTGGAAATACAGTTACTTTTTTATGTATCTGGTGTCCTAAAGAAGCGCATTACAAATGGGAATATTTTGCAAGAGCAGTATTTGTGTTTGTGGGGCTGTAATTGCTGTGACACACAGTCACAGTCATCTTATGTAAAAAAGAAGTCAGATTTATCTTTATCACAATAACACTGCAAAATATTGTGATAAAACTTTTAGCTGATATCAACCACCCCTAATAAATGAAACAATTCGGCTTTGTTAAAGTCTCTGATTTGGTTTTTATCTCATTTCACTCATGATGCTCTCATCTTTAGGACGTCGCTGCTCACCATTTTCTTTTTAACTCCCCAAATAACAAGTTCCCTCTTGGGGGCCTCATGATTGACCTTTATCATATAGGGAGCCTCTTTATGTGTGCTGACCTCTATGTCAGCCTGTGTTACAGGTGGATGAGCAGGCGTTGGCACGCGATCACATTGTACGCTGAGTGATCAACATCGACACACTGGGCTTCTAATGTCCTAGGGTTGATCTGACAAGAGAATAGACTTTAAAATCTCCAAAAAATAATAACTTCTTAATACGCCTCAAAACTTTTTACATATAGTCACAACCACAAACCTCAATATATTTGTGTTATTTATTTTTTTGTGATAGACCAACACAAAGTGGCAGACATTTGTGAAATGGAAGGAAAATGAGAAACAGTTTTCTTTTTTAATGCATCTTTTACAATCATTTGTTGTAAGCCCCTCTGATTCATTATCTGTCTATAACCGCTTGTCATCTAAAGTGTGTCTGTAATTGGAAAGCATCTGTAAACCTCAATTTCCAAGTCTATCCACAGATTCTTCATTGGATTTAGGTCTGGACTTTGACTGACCTGAGGGCATGAGTGTACTTAGTTTTAGACCATTACATTGCATCTCTAACTGTAAGTTGTTCTGCTAGAAGGTGAACTTTTCCCTCTGGCGG